TAGTAGCTCTTCAAGAATTAGTGTTCATAAGTAAAAGTTGGGAGACAACAAATTTCGACACTTTCTAACAGTAAAGGTGGAGTAACACTGGAGGGGTGGTGAAATATGGAACTAAAGTCCCACTTCATCAACAGGTGGGCCAGTGGTGCTACCTATCCAGTAATGGATAAACTAGATCGATAACAGATCATATGATTACAATACAGCACAACAAAACTTTTTCTAACTTTGGGCCAATGTTACCCTTAAAGGGCCAATCTTACCCCAACAGACGGTATAACATATGAGACTGATAACTCCTTGGGTAGGCATATAAAGAACAAGTCAAAAAATTGACAAATATCCAAATCGTGTCTAAAAGTTTCAATAGAAAGTACTTCCAGAAATTCGAAAAGAAGTTCAGAACTAAAGAATATCAATTCCACTAATGCTTGTCACCTTTTAGAAAACAAGAACGATTTCAACGTGGACTACGACATATTGCATATAGAAAATAAAGTTCAAAAATTAAAACTGCTGAAATCTCTGGGAATCAATAAACGGAAACGTTAAAATTTCCTTTTGAACGACCAACAATAAGTTATTCATTCGCCATTGTTAAACCTGTTTTCATAAACTATAGTAAAACCAATAATGATTGAGAGTAAAGCGCGTTGTCATATCTAAATTTTACGTTACCAGTTTATAGCAGAATCAAAATATAGTAAGCAGTAGAGTTGTAGGTTGTGGCAAATTATAGATAATACACAATACTAGTACGATTAAAAGGTATTATTTATGACAAAAATCAGTAATGAGCTTGTAATGAGTAATACTTATACATTTCCTGATTACTGATCAGTTAAAATTCATTATTTTCTGTATAGTGTTAGATATTTATTACAACTAGTGGCAACGCTGTACGCAACGATATTTCTGTCTTTGTCACTTTNAACTAATTGTACTAAGAATTTTTCTTTCATTCTTAACCCTCTCAAAAATTAATAAGCACGCCCTCGATTTGCTGTCAACTGGGCTTACTTCTACTCTCAATCATTATTGGTTTTAGTATACCTACCTGTTTTCCTAGAAGTAATATTGTATTGTTATTGCTATTTCAAAATCTTCCTGTGTCATCAGAATTTTGAATGTAAAGGAGAGCGTTGTAAATTCGAACTGATTGGCATTGGGAAGGGTTCGGATTTCAGATTTGTTCGAATCTTCGAACATAACGTAGAAATTCCTAGTTACACTTAAAAAATAGGATACATAAAAATGAAACTTTATGTACCTACACATCTACATACATATTGTACTTTGATTTATGTGTATCTTCTGCGGTAGATCTGTCAGAAAAACTCTCCTCTTGAACATTAAATTCCCTTATCCCGTGTCGAGATTAAAATGTTTTTAGCCAACCTGTGCTGGCTTTAAAGTTATTTGGACTCCCTAACTTTTTGTAAAAGTAAAGAGACTTTTCAAGATCAAAGGTCCTGATACGGGTTCCCCTTAAACTTCGTCTCTGAGAAAACCATAAAAACACAGCATCGTCTAATGAACTATGATTTGCGGTTCTTGTTGTTTTTCTGACTTTACATCCATCATCAGAATCTAATGTAGAAACAAAACTCAGAATGTTACTTTTTTTTTTTAATGCCCGAGATGGTAGCTTTACTAACTCCATAATGTTTTGACAAAGACGAGCAACTTTCACCTCTTTCAAGTCGATTTAATATTTCCAGTTTGGTTTCTATAGTTAGGAATATTCTTATTCTTATTTAGTGTCCCTGAATACGCCATAATACGACACTGTACGAGGCACACATTTTTTAAAATACAATTTATGTACGGACTACGAACCACAACACTCTACGACCACAGTAAAAATAATCAAAGTCAACTTCCACTATTTTCATTCAAGAATTCACAAAGTTCTCGGTAACCTCAAAACGAAGTGCGGAGCCGATTTCGTTCTCTTACCATAGGCGTGCGCTCATATAAAAACGAAATTCAAGGATATTATAGAAGATTTTGTGGTAAGTTACTTATTCCGTACGCGTACCACCGGTTGGGAACTCCTTCCTTAAATCATGCGATCCACACGTGTTGATATCGCCGTCCGGCCAGCTCGAGCAAAAAATCTGGCCGTTGACCATTTAAAGAAATGTTTACCGCAGTTTCAAATGTGTATTTTCTTTTTGTTTCATTTTCTTTCTCTCGTGTCTTGAATAATTTGTTTCTATAATGTAATGTAAATATATTCAACTACTACAAAATGGCGGAACTTTCAATAATTGCCTGAATACATTGACATTTAACTACATAATATAAGGTAATAAGCTTGAGGTCAGTTCAGAAGATGCTCGAAATGGTTGGTTGCCTTGAACTTCTTGACATATGAACAGCTTATCCGATATTTCACGTCCAACATTTTCGAACGCAGTAACGTCAATATCTCTACAAATATTTATTATTCTCTGCCGTATATCCAATATTGAGGCAGGTTCAGTTTCGTACACCTTTTGTTTCAAATAACCCCATAAAAAAAGTCCAAAGCTGTCAAATCTGGCGAGCGGGCTGGCCTTTACTATGGATCTTCATCAAGTAACGGCCGAATCGATCAGAAAATATTCAAATGCAGTTCCCCTGTTAAATTTTTATCAATAAATAGAGGTCCTACAATATGGTTTCCCAATATTCCTGCACAAACGTTGATTTTTTCTGGATATTGGGTATGTGTTTCCCGGAAAACGTGAGGGTTGGTGTCACTACAATAACGGCAATTTTATCTGTGAACATTGTCGTTTAAAAAAATGTACATTCGTCACTAAAACAAATACCGTGGAGATAGGTAGGATGATTTTGCAGAATTTTGTTTTTCGATCAGGATCATCTTCAGTTAATTGGTGTACCATTTTAATTTTGTATGGATGATACCTATTCCTCTAAAAGTCTCCACACAGTAGAAGGAGACACCTCATAACATTCGCGACGCAATAAGTAGACTGTTCAGGATTTACTACCACCTCACCAATTATTTGCACTTGCTGTTCTTCCGAAATGGACGGATGACCGGGGGGCTTTTTGTTATGTACGCCACCGGTAGTTGTGAATTTGGATACAACTTCCCTCAAATATTTTCTACACAGAACGATTCAGAAAACCTTCATTGAACATCCTTTCGGTGTCGTGAAAGTTACGCATGGCACCGTAAAACAAAATCGCTTCAATTTCTTTTTCCAATAGACGAAAATTGACCATTTTAGAGATTGTTGAAGTGGTACTTTTCTACTAGTAACTAAATGAGAATATTCTAACTGAACAATGATGTTCATTGTAGTACTGACATTTTATGTCGTTTTTATAAACAAAAAATAACGTAACAAACCTTATCGGGTTGTTGGAATTGCCATATGGCAGATAAAAAGGAATGGCGCCCAGTCGCCATCTTAAAAGTTTCATCTGTCAATTTCACTTCAAAATAAAAGGGAGGGGACATTGAAGAAATGTACTGTATAATACAATGTGCTGCAAGTAAGTACTCATGCGAAATAACACAATAAAAGATTTTGGTGATGACGTTGAAGTAGAAGGGATGGTCAAATCTAATAATGGTGAGTCGTCTGTCCCAGAGGTTCGTGAAGTTGAAAATGGCCAAACAGTAAAAGGTATTGTTCAATATTGTTCAATAACATAATCATTATAAACGACATTATCATACCTATCAGTACTTGGCTTTGATGTCCAGATAAATATCGTTGGAACAGCATTCTGTCGTAGAAGTTTTTTCTTATGGCTACTTATTATCACATCATTTTCAAAATGACTGCAGCACTGAACGCGTTGGATGAGAATCTCATTCTGAGAGCGGTTGAAGGTCCCCGGCAACTCGAGTGGATAACGTGGTTAGAGAGCCTACTGGTTGTATTTATTCTACGGTGCTACGACTGTTCTCTCACACCTACAGGGCTAAAAATAGACTGACCCGCTGGTGGGAGGGGAAAATGACGGTTCAAGACACTCTCCCAAGGACATTGTTCTCTCACAGCGCCGTGAAAAGTACACTTCACATGTTTAAAGAGGGCGTTCGAATGTTTGACGATCGGATTATTGACACTCTAGTGTATTTAATTCAGTTTTGAAATTACCTATTGTTATTATATAAAAGACATTGTGATTGTAGACTATTTTGATGTATAGTCGAAGTAACCTTTATTGTGAATACTTAAAGCTATCGGCATCTCAAAGGCCAAAACAACCAATACAGAGAAATAATGCCGCTGCGAACAAGTCTACGTGGACTGTTGATTTGGCGGTTCGTATTGGATGATTTTTACTAACTGAATTTTATGATTGGCTGAAGAGTTATAAAATTAAATTTGAAGTCATGTTACGGTGACGAATAGAATGTGGGGATGAGTATCGCCATTGTGTTGTCAATGTTAAGTTCAGGAACTGATCGCGATTTGAGTGTTGAAATTCGATATTGGTGCAGTTATAATTACTTAAAATTTTTGTTGTCTAGGCAGAAAAAGATTAAAATAATTTTAGTTGAAAAATACTTTTTGAACTTATAAACTTAATAAAGGGGAACGTTGCACTATATCGTTTACTTGAACTATACCAGTCCAAGGGATCAAGATACCACGTTAGCAAAACGTGTCTTACATAAAATTTATAGTGAAAATTGTAAATTCGTCTTATCTTGATTGAAAGTTTGATATTTTAGACTTCACGGCCATAGTAACAATAAAACGTGCGTTTAAACAAGTAGAGGCGTACCAAAAAACCTCGGTCGCAAAAGCCTTAACCGTTTTGTCAGAATAGAATACCAAAAAAATCATATATGAACAGATTCACCTGAACACTTCACAATAACAACTTACTTATTCAATATGTATTCCCGAGGGGGGGAAGCAAATATATTAAAAAATGTTTTGTGCGTCATATGAAATGAACTTTCAAGAATATGAAGCATCAAGAACATTGTAGAATTTGGAGAAATGCTATTGCCCATCATTTTCAATCCAACTCAACGCTACGATTCAGTTTTTCACTTACCAAGATTTAATTTCACTTAATATTTTGCTAAATGTTGATCTGGTAAAACAGGGAAGATCATCGCATTCATTAACAGCGTGTAACACTTTATCTAGAGTAGGTGTTTCGTTTCTTGAATAAAAAGATTGTACCATTCTTCGAATCAAATTTTTGTCTTCATCCCTAATATTGTCCAACACCCCACGTATCCGTGAATATTTCTTGGGTGGTAGCACTGTATGGTTGTTGGAATTATATTCTTTCAAAATTTTATATACACTTGATACTGCAATTCCTAAAGATTGAAGAACGAATTAAATTCAATAGATATTTATGTAGTACGAGAAATTTACTAGACGCGCTGAAAAGTTCGTATGCTAAGACACATATGGCGCTGCTAGTATTCAATCAATATGATTATTAGTTAACCCTAACCTTCAAAAGACACGTGTACAAATTTCACAGCTGTCAGACTATTAGTTTGTGGGATAGAACATTTGAGTAAAGCAAATTTTTTAAGTTTGAAGAAAATAGATGAAAAGGATCTTCGTGTGTTAATAAAGCATTGCTTTTTGGCGAAAACAAACCGTTCAAGCCAAGGCTTGAACTTGATGAACATTATTCGAACTTCACACCAGAAAAATTAGTCGCTGAGAAGTGGTTTGTCGAGTTTAAATGAGGTGAAATGAGCACCGAGGACATCTAAGAGGATGCCGAGCGAGCTCACAATCGACAAAAAACCACAACGAATTGATCATTCTGAGCACTATTTCAAGCCGTTCCACCATGTGACATTGTACGAAACATGGCTCCATCATTTCACACAAAATCAAAATGATTGTCATATGAGTGGACTACACGTGGTGAACCGACCACAAAGCGTGCAAGGACGAAACACTGGGCAAGGTTATGGTACCAGTATTTTGGGATGCACATGGTATAATATTGAAAAGGAAAAACCATCAACAGCGACTATTACATAGCGTTATCAGAGCGTTTAAAGGACGACATTGCAGAAGACAACAAATACAATGCGACGTGTCACAAATCAATGAAAACGATGGCAACATTGCATGAATTGGGATTCGAATTGCTTCCACATCCACCGTATTTTCCAGACCTGCATCCAGCGACTTTTCCCTGTTCTCAGACTTCAGAGGTCCATTTTTAGGCTGAAGACAAATCGTACTGTAAAAACGGTTTCGAAAATTTGTACGACCACTATAATCTCTGTATCGCCGCCGTGTAAGGTAAAGATAAAAAAATCAAACTTTATCAGATTTTTATTTCTATATTAGCCTACGAACTTTTCATCCCAACTGTTAGACGTCACAGTCCTTGTCTCAACTTCAGTCTCTGTTGTTAACTAAGAAATTTACGACAGGCCAATTTATACAGATTAATTTCAACTCTAAAAATTAAGACTAGTGACATATGACAAAGGATAGCGAGCGTTTTTGTTGAAATAATCTTCCTCCTTTTTCAAAAAAGGTGTTTTTTTTTGGAGAGGTAAAATCTACATGTACACTAGAATTTTTTGATATCTGTGCTATTTTTCAGAATGGTAGGAAGGTGATTATATACTTTAATACATTCATAAATCAGAGAATGCTGAGTCAAGATGAATTTTGGAATACGTAAGTAAAGCATATGGTTCTGTCTAGTGTTGTGAGAATTTGTTCCGGGAGTGTACATGCTAGTTTTATTTTTATGAATTAAGCATACTGTTTCCATTATGTGTAAACATGTGACGGTTAATATTTTGTGGCTGATGAATAGAGGCTTGCAGTGATCTCTCGTCTTAAGACTTTGTAAGATGTCTCAAAGACCTCTTCTGTAGCATAAATATCGTATTCTGTAACTGTAAATTACGATGGCCCCAGAAAGCTATTCCATAGCGAATATGAGATTCGATCATTGCAAATATTATTAGGGAATTGGTAATGCGTTATGAAGCAATTTTCAGATCCTCATTTATTTTAGAATTGATCTAATTTCTTAATTTGCTTTGTGTCGATTTTTATTTTTTTGAGTGAAAATCATGCGTCGGATAAAGAAATAAAGCATTGGCGTAGTACTTTTTCCCCAAAAATATTCAATGCGAAACCCGTAGGGATGCCACTGTTTGAAAAAATACAAGTTTGTGTACTTCAGAAAATGCGCCTTGAGGCATGGAACATATGTACCAAATATGACAAAGATGTCTACAAAATTATCTCAATTATTATTAAAAAACTGATTATTTTTGAACACTTTGTCACCCTGTATCTCAAAAGTTAAGGCGTTTAGGACATACGTCCATAGGAAGTTTTTTTCTTAAAATGGGTCTAAGAATTACCTCCTTAAATATTAGCATGTGTTTAAGGAACACCCTGTACATATGGTCATGGAAATTTTTTTCTTGAAACGACCTAACGGATCACCCTCGAAGTTTCGTACCGTAGTTAGGAAACACCCTGTATAAGAAACAATGTCATTGTCTCCGCTTCGCTAATATCACCTATTTTATGTTTATCGAGGCTCCAACATAAACGCAACCCAAGAAAAAGTCTTAGAACGTTGTAGAAATGCTTTTATGGAAATATATGCATTGGATTTCTTCTTAAGACTAAAATTAAGACTGAAATTGAGACAGAGACAAGGACACTAAATTGGCGGAAGAGCGATAAATATATGCTACACACAATTATTTCTACTATCGACTAATGGTTTGCACAATTATTATAATAGTTGAGAAATAAAAAATGGTGTTTCTTCACAACGCACGCAACACAAAATTATTTTCCACAATTCCCTGGAAATGTTGAATGTTGTTTTGTCAAAAATGCAAGCACGAAAGTCTACTTTCGAAATCGATTGTAGAAAAAAAAATTCAATTCGATCAATTGCCTTACCACTCGATTCCGCTGTGATTTGGACGTTTTGTACTTTTGAATTTTGAGGATTCTCAGTCTCGTAGGTTTTGAAAATATTCAGTACAGAAGTTTTATCCTCTACAGAAAAATGCTTTTTAACACGTTTTTTTGGACGTGACAATTGACAATTCATGTTCATTATGGATATCTTAAAATAACACGCAACATTAGAAAAACTATTCTTTTCTCCTCAAATCCACTTACATTTTTATAAAGAAAACGGGAGTTTTCAAAACGCAGCACACGAAAAGTGATAGAGTAAGAAAAATTAACACAACGCCACGACAACGCAATTATATACTATCCATCTAAGCACCGGAGTGCTCCAAAACATAATCATGCATTGTGCACGTGATCTCCCAGACAATGCTGCTTGTACAGAGTCGCACTGAGAAACGATCGATTTTTATTATACAGGCAGTTTCTTTTATCATGTGGTAATATTGCTATATTCTAAACCGTAACATATACGAAGACGATTAAACGGGGAAAAAGGTAACTGTCAGCAGGAATACAATGGTCGAATAAAATTTACGGGGACTTTTGCCCTTCTCGAGTTATACGGGGAAAACCAAAAATGCTGTTTTTCGTTTTTTTTTCGAATGAAATTGTTATTTTGGAGAATATCAAAAAATGGAAAAAGAAAATGTTATTGTATTCGAAATGTAGTATGACGATGTAATAATAAATATTCGATGAAACGTTTCGTGTCAACATGGCCACTATCAACTTTTTTTTAAATACGGACCTGTCTTTTTTATTACAGATATTGATAAAGCGATAAATTCACAATCAAAGCGATAAATCCACAATCAAAGCGATAAATTCAGAATCCAAGGGTGTATCACATTTGATATTTTTATAGCGTGTTCACAAGCGCCGTGTTCCGTTCAAGCACCAGTGCGGTTTGACCAGAGGCGTACCATTATGTGGGAAATAAGCAGTAAGAAACAATGAATGAAATCCATTGAATGTGAAGTTATTATTCAGCTCTAATGTATGTTGTTGATAATATTTTTTTTCTAGATAAATTACATATTTTATAACTTGTTACGAAATAATAAAATATAATAAGTAGTAATTAATACTAAAATCATCACTTCATAATTTTAACTAAATAAACTGAACT